ATTCACCAATAATGCCCACTATTGCTACATATCCAGATATTGGAGAGTGGATACCACATAAGAATATTAACTTCATCTCTTATCTACTTAGAGTTCTTTGTGGCCCCAATAGAATTTTTAATCTTAGAAGGCGATAACCAACACAATATGTTCCCCCATATTGGCCTTCAATTGGGAAAGCATCATATTGATGATCAAAAGATGTTTATTTCAGTCTCGAGACTCATTGTTTTGTCAACTGTTTGGTTGGAAAACCTAAACTTATTGGCTTATTTATCACCAACTTTGTTTAATCAACACTTCTTATTTGCAAGCCTTTAATATGTCTATCTACGTTTGATGGTGTTAGGCTTTCATATCAAAACACTTGTTTCGACTTTGCGGTCTGCCCACAACACTTGGCTCATTCGCGTACGGAGGGCATCCTATTTTTCCTACTATATACTCTTGGATGGAACGCAAGGACAAATTCTCTAAGGTAACACAATTCTTTGAATATTTATTTATACGCAATTAAATTTATAAATTTGATTATATTTAAAATGTTTGAATTCGATAAATACAAACATGCTAATTACTAGCTCATATATTTGAATATGAGGTTCAAATGCTAAGCTGACGTAGTGCTCAAAGTTATGTATGCAAAACAATGTAACATACACTTGATGATATTGTGTTTCTTCATTTAAATTAAAGTTAAGATATGGTCGGGCACTGATGTACTGATGTTGTTTGTTTGGTTTTGTTTTAGGACTTTTCTGTTCGTACACACCAATTTAAACGTTTTTATACACGTCCACCCCTAATTGTCTATGTAAACACGCAATTCGTTATAAAAAACAAAACTTCTAAGAGAGTTGTCTGTGTGGGCATGCTAAATTGGTATGTACACGTTTTGGTGTGTACAAAAAGCACGACTCTTTATTTGATTACGTCAATGATTTTTCCTCAAGTAATTAATATATTCTCGCAGGCTATGATTACTATCTTAAGCGTAAACACACTTGTTTATGTATATGTGGCTGCATTTGGGTATGTGATGTTTGGGACAAATGTGCTCCCACAGATAACTTTGTATCTCCCATCTAAAAAGTTGAGCTCAAAAATAATAATCTACACAGTACTAATAGGGCCAATTGCCAAATTTCCCCCGATCACGCGAGTCGCAAGAGCATTTGAATCTCTATTCTTAGAGCAATATAATAGGTGACACATCTGCATTATAGTGACAACATGTTTAGTCACCACCACAAATGAATCTCTTGCATTTCCATATTTGAATCTCTTGCATTTCCATATTTTGGGATAATCACATCACTTATTGGAGCAATTCTGAACGTATTTGGATCCACATCTTACTTCCATGTCACCATGTGTGTGCTACGTGAAGATATCGACAACTCATATTTGGGTTTGAAATATTGATTGTTGTGGGGATTATTAGTTTTAGGATTTTGATTGCAGTAGTCGGCACATATACTGGCATTAGAGAGATAGTCCTTTTAGGCTTGGGAATATGATGGAATAAAGCAAAATAGCGCACTAAACTTTACTTGTGCACGTGCACAGGATAAAATGGTGTTGTTTTAGTTTTACCGTATGTGTGTGTATGTGCATTGCATATGTATGAGTAATTTTAACTAGCGAAAAGTCACTTATGTAGTTGATTTAGCATTGGTTGATTATGCATATTCATATTAATTAAGAATGTTTTATTTTTTAACTAAATATCTAAATATGTTCTTAGGCTATATTTCCCTATCTAAATATATTTTCCTTATAACTCTCGATTGCATCCAAATGAATTTCGTCTTTTCAAGCATCTTTATTTAAACAAAAAAAAAAGAATTGCTCAATGCCTATTTATATCCCTTAGTTTTTATCTGTGGCTTGTTATGTTTTTTTTAAAACTAATAACTCCACATTGTTATAATTTATTTATTTAATAATAGATGTGGTCATTTTTAAGATATTAGTCCTTCTATGATTTAGAAAAGAGTTTAAAATATATAACTTTGTGACATTCTGATTTAATGAAGGTGTTAGTGGCGACAATAGGCCGGCTGCATAAAGTGATTGGTAGCGATCAATTTATTTTTCATTAGATTGATTCAAAATAAGTGTTATTGAATAAAGAAAGGTTGCATGCTTTAGACTTTTAGTAAACAGTTTTTCCTAGAAGATCAGTTGAATTAAATCTATAAAAGATTCTCACATCAATTGGTAGGTAATAATCGAAACATAAACATGTCAAACTATGCAATAAAAGGTAAAAAAAATAAAGATGCTCCATGTTTAGAAATGAAAAATGATCTCAATTTTATGACCAAATAGTACTATATGAAAGTTACATCCAACTCTTAACACCACTTTTAGGGGGTGTTTGCGATTGCTTCTACTTAAAAAGCGATTTTTTAAAGTGATTTTAGAGAAAGTACTTGATAGTAAAAGTTGATAGTGTTTGAGAAAAAGGTGATTGTGAAAAAGTAAAAGTTGGTAGTGATTGGTAAAATAAATGCTTTTTGTGCAATAGAAAACATAAAAAGCAGTTTAAAACACCCTTCCATCTGCTTCCAGCTTTTAGCTTTTAAGTGATCCCACTTTTGTACTCATCTATATTTGTGAAGTGTTTTTTTGTCTATCAATCCCAGTTCACAGACAATATTTTGCACAAACAAAATATTGTTTGTGAATCGGGTTCACAGACAAGAAAAAACATTTCACAAACATGGTGGGTATAAGAGTGGGTACAACAAGCATTGTTGATTGGAGAATCAATAAATTGGCTCTTCTCCTGAAACGCACAATCTGTCATTCGCCTCTTGCTCTTCTGCACAGGTCTGTCAGTTAAATCAGTTTGATTAAAAAGAATTGAATCCCTTCATCAGCATTTTGGCTGTTTCAGTATATCCCCTGTTAAAATAGGTATACCTTCATTCATACTTATTATTTTACAAATAAAAGGTTATTTACTGGAAACCTACGGTAATGAATTAATGACTGGAGTGGCAACTAAGTGGTTTTCTCCTAAAAATTTGTCGGTATTTAATATATGCATTCTTTTTTGTTATGTTTTAAAGGTCATAAAAGGTCAGACCTCTTAATTACATAGTAAGAGTAACAAGTTACTTTGGTTTAGGTGAGTTGGCATTTACAAAAATCAGTTTTAAAGGAAACGTAAACACCTTGAAATTTGTCAGATAAATCATTAACAGATATTAGTATGTGTTTTTTTGGTAACCTTTTTATTGTCGTTGAAGATAGTAACGTGGTAGTCTGTTTGTTCTTTGGATTATTCTCTAAGATGAGTTGGTTAATACTCCTATGATTTGTATGGAGTGAAATTTTTTATATAATAGATACAATTTACATTACTACTTATAATGATTAGCTTTTATCCATTCATCAGCATTTTAATTGTTTCAGTACGTATTTCCCTGTTACTCACGGGGTGGCCCCCACATGTGGGAGGTCATCCATTTAAGCCCCAAAGTGTACATTCGGCTCGAAAATATATTTTTCAGACTGTTTTAATTATATTTTATTTTATTAAATCAAATAAAATATATCTCATGTTCCCAATCAATATGGGCCTTTAGAATGAATATTCATTCCCCAACTTTAATTTAGAAGTTTTCGTAATTTGTTACGGGTTGTAATCTGATGGAATGTCGATACAGGTATATGGGACCTGTTTGACCAACCGGTCAATGGTATGCCTTTTACATAACCCAACTAGCATATCCACCACCATATATATATATATATATATATATATATATATATATATATATATATATATATATATATATATATATTAGAGAAATCATCTCATCAGGCCGGCCTGACGGGCTGACCCGTCCGGCCGAGCCCGTTTGGGCACCTTCCCGGTGGAATTTTTTGATGAAATTTTTTGAGCATGTTCCTCATCAAGTCTAGTTTGTCCATACCAAATTTCAGCTCAAAATTCGATCGGGAAGGTCGTCAAATGATTTTTGCAAGTTAACTGGTCCGGAATATGTATTTTCCGGACCAGTTAATTTGAAAAAATCATTTGACGACCTTCCCGATCGAATTTTGAGCTGAAATTTGGTATGGACAAACTAGACTTGATGAGGAACATGCTCAAAAAATTTCATCAAAAAATTCCACCGGGAAGGTGCCCAAACGGGCTCGGCCGGACGGGGCAGCCCGTCAGGCCGGCCTGATGAGAAGAGCTCTCTCTCTCTCTATATATATATATATATATATATATATATATATATATATATATATATATATATATATATATATATATATATATATATATATATATCGGGTGGTCTTCGCTCCTGGTGTGGGTCCGACGTGCAATTTACTATTCACGTTACAGAAATAATAAAAATTTACAAACTCGTAAATTCATTCACCATTTCTCAATGTTCAACACATAATTTACATAAAAGTAAATATATTTGGCGACGGTGTTACAGATTCTCTGAGGATACAATCATTATATTTTCGTTGGATTGATAGGTCTCCCTCGAGTCTCTTAATATATATTGGTGTTCTTGAGACAGTTAGGAAGAGAAGCATCTCTTCCTCTTAGTCGTGAAACGAGAACAGAAATATACACTACTCAAGTTTTGAGTCAAAGAGAAACCAATTTGGTCGCTAATGTAATACTCCGTATTTAATACTCCCTACGTCCCTTAAAAGTTTGCCATGTTTGACCGGCACGTAGAATAATAAAGTAAAAACTGTGTGGTAGAGATTTGTGCAGAGGAGAGATAAATAACATGAGCCACAAATTGATTGATTAAAATGGAAAGTGGCAAAGTTTTTGGGACAACCAAAAAAGGAAAGTTGGCAAAGTTATAAGGGACGGAGGGAGTATTAAAAAGTATACATCATATGCTAACTATATATGAATATATACAAAAACCAAATTTGTAATATGACAAACTTAATGATCAGACATAAATGTCTTAATATATATAAAATTATATAAATGGTCCAAAGACACTTAAATTGAATATTTTCCAATAAATATTACCATGAGTTAATTAACTTTAAATTCACAAATTCGTACCTCTCTCGAATAGTGGATGGTAAAATTTCTAAGCATCTATTATCCATTAATCCGTCATCTATCACCACCATATATAACAATGTTCAACAATAACCTCTCCATGATCATAATACTCGGAGAGTACTAGCCATTCCTTAACATAGTGCTCATGACTACCTAATTTAGTCAGTAGAAATTTTAAAAACATGAACACAAATCCAGAAACAATTTCCGTTCCTAAAAAAAAGATAGCCTTATAGACGGAGTATATATTTATGAGAATAATTTGTAGGTTTTTGCTTGAAGCACAATCTCTCTTGCTCCCCCTATTGGTGAAAGCACAGCAATCAAGACTCCAACAATTATCGAGACCTGCGATTTGAACAGTGCACTAATTAGACTATAAGTTTGTAATTCCCTATAACTCATACTCCGTAATTAAGGAGCTGGGTTCATCAAGTGGCTAGGCCTAACGTAATTGATTTTTTTTTAATAATGAACTGCATCGTAATCATGTGCAATCAATTATATACATACAAGAGTGCCTAACGTAATTGATTAATTGAGAGTATCGAAAGGTAGGCTCGGATCAAGCTGAGTTAAGTTGGAAAGTGTTTTAAATATGACTAAATAAAATATAATTGTCATGTTATTATTTTCTCAATAGAAATAATCATTGGGATTTACTGCATGTTTTGGTCGTACTAAATTTTAAGCATGATGTGATAGTATTTTATAAACTTGACGGTAATTACTTCAGTTTACGGAATAAAAATTGGCAAACATATTTTGGAATTCTCAAACGTTTTTACTTAAATTTATAGGACTCATGGACCGGTGATTAGTTCAACGATTGGATTCAGCAAACACGGATATGATTATTTTAGATTCATTTAACGTACCTTCAAATAATATGTACTTGATTTTTTTAATATAAACATAACATACAATGCACAATTGTAACAAGATTAAGAATAGGAAGAAGATGAGGACTCACCCAAGATGCAAGCCAATGAAAACTCCACTTTTTTGGTCGCTTTATGATGAGCCATATGATGCAAGGCATCTGCATATATGTATGTAGTGTGTATATTTCATCAAAATATGTAAGAAGTACTTCGTATCTTAAAAAATATGGGGTTTTTATAAGAATATTATTAAAATTGTAAGGATCGTTTCTTCCGTCTCGGGCTCAGGTCTCCAACCTTCTAAACTAAACTCACACACACCACTCTAGGGCTAGGCCACAACATCTCCCATGTTTACTCACTCTTCTTCACTCCACAAAGGAACTCTCACACAAAGAAAGGAAGAAGGAAGACTCTGCTGATATCTCTCACAGGCTTATCTCACAAAGAAGGAAAGGAGCTGACTTTATACTAGGCAGGCAGCCTATTGGGAAGTCACGGGTAAACAACAGGACACTCACGGGTGTGACCAAGACAACAAAGGCTCACGGGTATAAGCAAGGCAGCAGCAGACAAAAAACAATGGGGCACACTCCAGGTAAGTCAACAGGCCATAATAAGTTATTTCAACTCAGGGAATCAAAGTGGGAGTAAACATGGGGTGCAAGCCTAAATAATAAAGTGGAAGGGAGGCCTTGGTAGGACCAATACCTCCAACATTCTCCACCTTATTGGTCCTAAGTGGTGTAGAGTAGCAAAACAGGTTGTGAGGAGACTCATCATCACCGGGTCACCCGGAATATCAAAAGACACAACGGGCAAACACTTTATTAGGCAACCCACAGTTATCCACAGTCAAAATTTAACACGCGTTTACAGGACAAGTGCTTCTCAGCAGAAAGACACTTGGTACCCATATCTGCGGGGTTAAACTCCAACGGGATTTTGCACAGCTTGACTCCACCTGCATCAACAATATCACGTATGAAATGGAACCTAACATCAATATGCTTAGTTCTATCATGAAATACAGGATTTTTGCAAAGTTGGATAGCCGATTGGCTATCCGAGAAAATGGTAACTCCCTTTTTGAGAAACCCAATTTCGGAGACAAGGCGTTTGAGCCAGATGGCTTCCTCAAACGCTTCTGTGGCTGCAACATACTCGGACTCAGTGGTAGAAAGGGCCACAATAGGCTGTAGTTGAGACTTCCAACTAATGCAAGAGCCACACAAAGTAAAAACATAAGAAGTGGTCGACTTCCTGTTATCTCTATCATTTGCATAGTTAGAATCAACATAACCAATCAATTCAATACCACTAGCACATTTAGAGAAAATTAATCCATGCTTCACAGTAGAAATCAGATATCTAAGTAACCACTTAAGAGCATTCCAATGGGGCAAACCAGGGTTGGACATATATCTACTCAAGCAACTAACCGCATATGCAATATCAGGTCTAGTGCTAACCATAAGATACATCACCGACCCTATTGCGCTGGAATAAGACACAGATTTCATTTTCTCAATTTTAGGAGCAGTCTTGGGGGACTGGTCCTTACTTAACACAAAGTGAGATGCCATAGGGACATTAACAGGAGAAGCAGATAACATATTAAATTTACTCAAAACTTTTTCTATGTAAGAAATCTGATTCAAAGTAAGAGTACGCTTACTCCTATCCCTAACAATGTTTATGCCTAGGATCCTCTTGGCATCACCTAGGTCTTTCATGGCAAAATTTGCACAAAGACATTTCTGCACATCTTTAATAGCATTCAGAGAAGGACTAATTATCAGCATGTCATCCACATAGAGTAACAAAAATACAGGCACAGAAGAAGTATTTTTGAAATACAGGCAATGATCACAAACAGATTTTTGGAACTTCAAAGATATCATGCATTTATCAAATTTGATGTTCCACTGCCTAGGGGATTGCTTCAGGCCATACAAAGCCTTCCTAAGCAAACAGACATGCTCACTTCTCTTGGGATCCACAAAGCCCTCAGGTTGGGTCATATAAATTGTTTTATCCAATTCACCATGCAAAAATGCAGTAGTTACATCCATCTGTTTCATTTCCCAGTCATGGTGAGCAACTAAAGCAAGCATCATACGAATAGTGGTGAATTTAACAACAGGAGCAAAGATTTCTGCATAATCTACCCCCTCTTTTTGAGTAAACCCCTTCGCAACCAACCTAGCCTTAAACCTAACATCACTAGGTTCTTCCTTAACCTTAAACAACCACTTACACTCAACTACCGAACAGTTGGGGGGTCTAGGTACAAGGGTCCAAGTCTGGTTCACTCTCAAAGAGTCCATCTCACTTTTCATGGCACTAATCCATTTCTGAGACTCTTTGGAACCTAAGGCTTCACGGTAGGTCTTGGGTTCATTCAGCTCTAGGGATTCAAACACAGAAAATGCAAACATAGAAGTATCATGCACAATGAAAGCATAATCAGGCATACTATCAGCAGTTCTCCTGATAGCCCTTCTACTCCTATCTCTAGCAAGTTGATAATCATGCAAATTATCACTACTAGGCTCCACATGCAACTCATGCAAATTATTGTTATCATGAAAATCAGATTCAGCACCGATATCATGCAAATCATGCTCAGTATCATGCAAATGCTCCACCTCACTCGAGGTGGTGGGACTATCATGCTCAGAGGAATCAGAATCATGCATAACAATATCATCAGAAGTAACAGGATCAACAGACAAAGGACTAGCAGCAACAGGGACAGACTCCACCTCACTAGGAGTACTATCAGACTTAGACTCAGGATCAGAAACAGACTTAGTCAAGCAAGGAAAATCAGTTTCATTAAACACCACATTTCTGCTAAGGACCACTTTAAAGCCTACCTGGTTCCTATCCCATAACCTGTAACCCTTTACCCCCTCTGGATAACCTAGGAAGACACATTTCTTAGACCTAGGATCCAACTTGTCACCTTGTTGATGTGCATACGCTGCACAACCAAACACCCGAAGGTTAAACAGATCAAGAGGCTTACCGGTAAAGACGGTTTCAGGACACTTACCACCAAGAGGGACAGACGGGGACCTATTAACCAAATAGGCAGCAGTAGTGACTGCTTCACCCCAGAATTTCTTAGACAAACCAGAGGTAGCTAACATGCTTCTAACCTTATCCAACAGAGACCTATTCATTCTCTCTGTTATCCCATTCTGTTGGGGAGTATAAGGCACAGTTTTGTGCCTTTTAATCCCACAATCCACACACAGCTTATCCATCTCCTTATTACAGAACTCTAACCCGTTATCGGTCCTAAGGGTTTTAACCTTCCTGCCAGTTTGGTTTTCAACTAGGGTTTTCCACTCCCTAAACCTCACAAACACATCAGACTTGTGTTCTAAAAGGCAAACTCACACCTTCCTAGAAAAGTCATCAATAATAGAAAGGAAATATTTCCTACCCCCGTGGGTAGGAACACTGGCAGGACCCCAAACATCGGCATGAACATATTCAAGCACAGACGAACACTTAGACAGATTAGGGTAAGAGGAAGGAGGGAAGCTGACTCTATGCTGCTTGCCTAACACACATGATTCACAGAAAGGCACAGAAGACACAGAGTCCTTACCAAAATAACCAGCCCTACGCATGACATCTAAACCCTTATTGCTCATATGTCCTAGCCTATTATGCCACAAAGAGGTCTTATCAGAACATACCACATTCACAGACTCAGCAAAAGGTTTAGCATGACACACATAAAGGTTATTCACCTTCTCAGCTTTAAACAAAACAAACGAGTTTTTCAGGATTTTCATACAACCATTCCCCCATTTTCCCTGTAACCCACTACTCTCCAAAGCAGCAACAGATAACAAGTTATGACACAAATCAGGGACATGCCTCACATTCTTAATGGTAAACACAGAGCCACAAGAAAACTTCAGACATATATCACCAACACCAAGCATATTGCATCTCTTATTATCAGCTAAGGAAACGTAGCCACTATCACATAATTCATAAGTAGAAAACAAATCTCTAAAGGGGGACATGTGATAGGTACAACCAGAGTCAATCAACCATTCATGCTCAGACAGGGAATTTCTCACAGAATTAACATGGTCACAAACCATCAAAATATCACCAAGGTCACATTTATCAACAGCTACACTAGCATGCTCGGTCTTCTTAGGGTGGGGGCAATCCTTAATGAAATGGCCAGTGTTACCACAATTGTAACACACTCTCTTCCTAGATTTACTCCTCTTCCTCCCAGGCTGACTAGCGTTCTTACCCTGACTATTTTGCTTAGGATTCTTAGACCTACCCTTAGATCTACCCCTAACAAACATAGCCTCACCGGAGTCCCTGGACTGACTAACACTACCCCTAGCATGCTTCAGGTCTAATTCCTTACTCCTTAATCCATTCACAACAATGTCTAACGAAATCTCATCCCTACCATACTTAATAGCGGACTTAACATCATTATAAGAGTCGGGAATGGCATTAAGTAATACTATGGGAGTATAATCATCTATGTGTTTATCACCTGCCTGTTTGATATTCTGTATCAGTTTATTAAACACAAGCCTAAACCTAAAGAATTTCTCTAGTAAGAACAACTTTCCGGGCAAAGAGGTATCAGTATAGAGACTATCCAATTTCTCCCACAACTCCTTAGCGGACTCAAGAATACCCACTTTCCTAAGCACAGAATCAGACAGATTTAAGTAAATAGTAGAACAAGCAGTTTCGTTCATTTCAATTTGCTTAGCCTTATCTTCTGATTCAAGGAAAATACCAGTGACAGCTCTGAAAACTTTTTGCTGTATTAACCACTGTTCTAAAAATCGGCCTAGTCGGACCGATTAATCGGCCTAGGCGGCCTAGTCGGCCCTTACCGTAGAGGCCTAGTCGGCCTAGTCGGCTAAAAAATCGGCCTAGTCGGCCAAAAAATCGGCCTAGTCGGCCGCCTAGGCGCTAGGCGCCCCTCAACCGCCCGACTAGCGCCTAGCGAGTTTTAGAACAATGGTATTAACACACACTTAATTTTCTGTTTCCAAATATCAAAATCTGTTTTTCCATTAAATGGAAGCATACCATACTGATTCGCAGCCATGATATCAACCACAAAGGAACACAAAGCTAAACAGATAGAAATGACAGAAAATAATCCAACCCGGGCTATAAAGTATTCACTTTAGTAACCCCGGGCAGCATGCAACACATAGCAAAAAATGGACATTTTGGCAATTAAACAATTCCGGGCAGAAAATTAAATTTAATTAATTCTACCCCTACCACCCAATAAACCACCCCTACGCATAACAATTAAATTAAATAACACTTAGTAATTTAATTAATTAGCTAAAACAATCAACCACAAAGGAGAGGGGTTAGTACGTACCTGGGGGGTTGGCGGCCGAGATTAAATCAACCGGCGGCCCGCGGGGAGGGGGAATAAATTAAATTAAAATTAAGTCCGAAATGCTATAAATAGGAAGTTTATCGAAAACTTACCTTCGCAAAACCCTAGGAGAGCGTTTCGACCTTACCTACCCAATTTTTTAAAATTTGGGATTTTTCTGAGAAGTTGACTGACTGTTGACCGGCGTTGACTGGCGTTGACCGATGGTTGACCGGCGTTGACTGGTGGTTGGCTGGTTCCAGCTCCAGGTCTAGCAGCCCAGCAAGTCCAAGTCCAAGTCCAGCAGTCCAAGTCCGATGGTTGACCGGCGTTGACTGGTGGTTGACTGGTGGTTGACTGTTGACCGGTGTTGACTGGCGTTGACCGATGGTGTAACAGTCCAAGTCCAAGTCCAGCAGCTTTCCAGCAGCTCCAACAGTCAAATGGACTGACCCAATTGTCCACTAGCCCGATTCCAGCTCAGAAGCAGCAACTCATCTTCTAGCAGCCAGCAGCTCCAGTCCAGAGGCCCAAAAGAAAAACCGGCCCAAAATTTGCCTAAGCTCCAACTTGACCAGCGGCCCTGTCTACTTCAGCAAATTCAGCGGACCGAAGAAGTCTTCTTCGTCCTTTGCCGGCTCCTGGGTTTCTGTGAACAACAACGAGGCTCACACCAACGAGTAGCGACCTCGATGGCGGAGAGAGACGGTGGCGAAACTTCCAGCGACGGTGGCGGGGCGGCTGATTCCAACGGTGGCGAAACTTCCAGCGACGAGCGAAGCTTTCAGGCGACGGTGGCGGGGCGGCAGTGGCTCTGGCGGAGGTTCCACTTCCGGCGAGCTCTGTTTCAAGCTTGGTCAGAGGAAGTCTATTTCAACCTCCGGGCAGCGAACGGCGAAGAACCAGGCCTTAGGGAACTCCAGCAAGCTCCAATCGATGGCGGCGGCGGCGGACGGCGGCAGACGGCGGTTCCGGGCTTTGATACCACTGTAAGGATCGTTTCTTCCGTCTCCGGCTCAGGTCTCCAACCTTCTAAACTAAACTCACACACACCACTCTAGGGCTAGGCCACAACATCTCCCATGTTTACTCACTCTTCTTCACTCCACAAAGGAACTCTCACACAAAGAAAGGAAGAAGGAAGACTCTGCTGATATCTCTCGCAGGCTTATCTCACAAAGAAGGAAAGGAGCTGACTTTATACTAGGCAGGCAGCCTATTGGGAAGTCACGGGTAAACAACAGGACACTCACGGGTGTGACCAAAACAACAAAGGCTCACGGGTATAAGCAAGGCAGCAGCAGACAAAAAACAATGGGGCACACTCCAGGTAAGTCAACAGGCCATAATAAGTGATTTCAACTCAGGGAATCAAAGTGGGAGTAAACATGGGGTGCAAGCCTAAATAATAAAGTGGAAGGGAGGCCTTGGTAGGACCAATACCTCCAACAAAAATAAAACGTATTTACATAAATATGACTGTTCATTACTACAACATAGTGTTGTGGTAATTTAAGTTCAGAATTTGAACATGAATTACTATGATTTCATTACTACTCTAGTAACTAGTCATATTTTTGTAAATCATCTTTATTTTCTTGAGATTTCTCGGACAAAAAAACTCTGCTCTATTGAGCTTGAGCTACATTTGAACGAACAAAAAAATACCACCAAAAATTACAGATCAGAGTAAAACATTTTGAGAACATTATTTCCCTTTTATGTATTTTTTTATTTGTTGAGACAAACTATTTCATTCAAATTTATATTTTTGAAAACCTATTTTCATTGATGCGCGTTTACCAAATTTAAACGAAGTTAAATTAAGGAAAACTTTGATTTTGCATTCAATTTTTGGGGATATTGGAACTTGCACTCCACTTTCAAAAAACTTTGATTTTGCACCTCTGGTATAACATTTTGTGAAGAGAAAATTCTAAATGAGGTGCACAGTCAAATTTTTTAATCAAAAAGCCGGGTGCAAACTAATTTATAATAAGCCGGGTGCAAACTAATTTATAATTTAACTTAATAGAACTTGATTATAAGTTTGAATGAAGGTAAAATATAATTGTTCAGGACTAAAATGGTGTCTTAGCTCATGACTAAAATAAAGGACTTACGAAGTAGGACGTTGCCGAGAATACGAGGCCTCCAAAAAAACCGAGCAGCCCGCCGAAGAACGGAACGCAAACAGCCACGAGCCCCACAAACGCTGTAAACATTAAAGCATAAGCATCACAACAAAGCAATAAAAGCTCTCTATTGACGCTAACCATGTTTTTAATTAAACTTATTTCAAGCCCATGCCCATATCAAAGGAGTGTTTACGGCTGCTTAAAAAAAGCGTTTTTCAGGTTTTGACTTAAAAAAGCCGAAAATAGTGTTTTCAAATGACAACTTCTGTTTAAATTAATTACTTAAAAGCTAAAAGCTGGAAGCAGGTATAAGAGTGTTTTAAATTGTTTTTCACTTTTTCTCTTACACAAAAAGTACTTATTTTACCAAACACCATCAACTTTTACTTTTTTTTTTACTTCAGGGGGTGTTTGGGGGAGGGGGTTGAGGGAGTCTGGAGTAATTTAGGCTGAAACTCACTCTATTGAGTTTCGAACCTGAAACCCCCCGTAAGAGAGAGTGAGTCGGCGACCAGCTGAGCTGGATCGCGTCCTTCAAACACTACGAACTTTTACTATTAAATACTTTCTCCAAAATCACTTTCAAAGTCGTTTTTTAAAGTTAAAGCAACCACAATTAAACAGTACTCCCCAAATTTTATTAGGAAGGGTTGTACTTACCAACGTAAGCACTCCGTGCGAATAGGCGAATGTAGGCCGAAGGAGTGAATCCAAGATTTATCACCACATATGCTTCAAGTGCGTCGAATACCGGCATAGCGAAAACCTACGCATTATGTTCAAAAGTAGACTTCTTTAGTTTTATTTTTGCTCAAAAGTAGAACTATAATATGTATGTTTTATTATTCAAATGAAACTTATTTAGTTTTATTTTTGCTCAAAAGTAGAACTAGCTATATATGTATGTTTTATTTTTCAAATGAGACTTATTTAGTTTTACTAAAAGAATAAATTAGAATAGAACTTCCCAAAATAAGAGTAAATCCGTTCTAAATATAGGGAATAACATAATGGTAGCTCTATTTATGAAGGTTATTGTCCTTTTAGTCCTATTTAGGACATTTTCTCAAATTTCTATGCGATTTGTGTGGTTATTAATTGATCATAATGTGAACCTTTGTTTAAATTCATGATTTTTTACCTGATATTATATTCAATCTTCATTTAAAAATGGGTGATCATATTGCCTTTTCTTGATCGTAAAGTTTGGATAACGATTTTGGTTATTATATTTGAATTTGACAAACAAAAAAACAAAGATGGTAATAATTTAAGAGAGAGAAATGGGGCATGTGCAATTATCTTATTACATACTCGTTATTATATACTCATTACGTCCCACAATTAAATTCTCAATTATGTTTGACTCTCACTATCTCACAATATATATACTTATAAATAAATCTATAATAAATTAATATCCGAATATGTATATACGGAGTATATTGCAATAACATTTGTAGTATATGGAATCAGTGGCGGAGCCACTATAGTTCAAGGGTGTTCAATTGAACACCTAAAATTTTGAAAAACGCATTAGTATACATGTACAAATTTAATTTAATTATTTATTGTTCTTTCAAATTTTATTTCCAATTAGGAGTGCTCACATTAAAGAAAAAATAGGCCAAAAGTAAGTTTTTGTTCGATCAACAATGTTATAGAGGCTTTAATAGGGAATTCGCGAAGCAGACATTGAACAAATTAGGAGCTTTTGAAAATAGAGATGTTTGGATTTATCAAAACATGAAATGGTGGGCTCTTCTATTGGATTATCATTGCTTTGAGCTAGCGGGAGTATCGAATCGAGAACTGTTGGATTGCTCTAGGGATCCAAGAAAAAAATCAAGGCTGGCCTATAATAAATGAAGACTCTTTAGATCATTTTTTGGCTTTTCTTTAGATTCTCTCTCTCATTAGAGATATCTTTCATTAGCATTTGTACTTTCATATGCATTTATTAATAAAATTCTTCTTTTTTCGGAAAAACAAAAAACATAAAGAATGAACACCCAAAACTTGATACATAAATCCGGTATGGAATTCATTTTGTGTGATAATGCAATATAAATTTTGAATAATTAATGATTAAAATTGTTAAACTCTTACTCAAAAAGTCAAATTGGGAATTTAATTGTGGGAGAGAGGTACTCCTTCCGTCCCAAATTGAGTTGCATAAAATTGATTTTTTTGAGTCAAATGGGTTCCATTGCAGCATTTATAATCTTAATTAGGATATCAATTCTTCATTAAATTTTAATTTGGATTTTACAACTTTACAAATATTTTAACGTAGTTTCTAAATTTGTATATTTTAATTATTACGGAGTATTTAATTAAGTACTATGTAATACTTAATTAGATTAATTAGATAGGCAAAGTGGGTGAACCTGATAGCTTCCGAGCACATGGATAAAGACCATGACATTAGCTACTGCGATGAGCCATGAAGGCCTTTCAAGAGAGATAAGAATGTCATCTTCCACCAGATCTCCGAACGCCCAGAAACCCGACGCCGCCACGGAGACGTAGCAGATGAAGACGATGACATAAGCCCAAATGACGCCCTTCCACATCGGCTTTTTCGAGGGAGCCTCCGGCGATGAAGGAATGGTGGCCTGGATTTCCAGGGCCACACTGTGCCCGGCAAATGCGAATGCGATTGTCCCCATGGCATTGAACGCGTTGAACACTTTTCCGGCCGCCGTGTCCGGCCTCGTGCCGTAGCTGGAGGGGTGGTGGTGCGATCCCTTCAACAGTGATGTCACAAATGCTATCATTGAGTAACTGCACGTACGTAGAAAGCATTAGATCATGCATGCATGCATGCATGCATGTGTACTGATTAAATATGTGAGTCTCACAAATAACTTTAATGGGTTGATCAAGTTTGACTAATGCTATTTTTGGATATGAAATTGTTGAAAAATGAAATTGATATGCAAATGATTTTTTCTACAAAAAACTTTTATCAAGGTTTAAAATGTAAAAAAATCACACATGTGGAGTATATGATAATTAAAAATCGTTTTCGATCAATCAAATCAATACAATACATTAATCTCACAAAATTTGTTCAGATTTGACTTGCACCCAAATTATTTATACTCCGTGAAAGAAAATTTGTGTGCAGGTTCAGTAGAAGAGAGAGAAATACCTTTAATCGCATATTTATTGTTTAAAATGGAATTGACAAAGGTTTTTGAGACAATCAATCAATGAAATATGGGAAAGTTTTATAGAACGGAGGAAATATAAACATAAACGAATTTGTTCAAACTGAGAGTAAAACATGAACGAAGTCTTAGGATGTTTTCTTTTGAATTGTTTTCAGTCGCAGACCAGATCAGACCAGACCAGACCAGACCAGATCAGACCAGACCAAATCAGATCAGATCAGACCAGACCAGACCAGACCAGACCAGACCAGACCACACCAGACCAGATCAGATCAGACCAGACTTCCATAGTTATAAAATACACAGGGACCAGACCAGACCAGGCCAGATCAGACCAGACTAGCAAATTTCAGTCCAAAAGAAAATATCCTTAAAGTGGGACAAAGTAAGCTTATCTTCCCAAAATACTACATATGTAGTATACTCCCTCCGTCCCACTAAGTTTGGGACAAAGGGGTGTGGTGTGATTTTTAAGAAAAAGTGGAATTGTGTTGTTGATATTGAATTGATAAAGTGTGAATAAAGTAAGAATGGATTCTAACCACTCAAATGTTACCAAATATGGTATGAGACAAACTTAGTGGGACGGACGAAAAAGATAAAATGGGACAAACTTAGGGGGACAGAGGGAGTATGATTTACGGAGTATTATGTTCTATTAAAAGAAGAGAAAATTCTCCGAATAGGAACAAAATCAATGTGATATTTCAATACAGGAAATCTATATTTTTATTCCCTAAATACGAGTAACTTAGTGTCATCTTGAAATTTTACTATCATATCTTGGTAGTGTACTTCAACAATTGGTCGTATTTTGCAAGCATTTCAATATATAATTACCCATATTTCGAGAATAAAAACGTAAGATAATGTTTCTATTTTAGAATCCCAAAGTAAAACAAGTAATACCTCCGTTCCGAATTGATTTGCAAATTTGACTTTTCTTGGTCAAACAGTTTCATTTTATTTACTTAATTAGGGTGTCAATTTTTAATTATATTCTAATTTGGAGATTACAACTTTGAAGAGATTTTAATGTTGTTTCTGAATATGTAAATTTTAACTATTAAAAATTGAATTAATTATGGATGGGGATGATTGACTTTTATTATTGGTTGACAAAAAATTGTTGACTTTGCAAAACCATTTGGGAGGGAGGGAGGGAGTAGTAATTATGGATCGTATAAAACAATTATAAAAAAATAAGCGTACACAAGTAGTATATTAGGAAGAAAACAATGTCATTATTATTTGATAAACTAATCCATCCTTAAAAGATGACGCTTTGATAAAAGGAGAGCTTTGGTTTACCTGAAAGACATGATAGCAGCGAGCAGAGACAAGCCCTTTATAGAGTTGAAGTTTGGAGCTTGGGACAGGACGAACTGGACCATTGTGAAGAAGACGATGTAGTAAGTTTGTCTGATTTGAAATTTTGGGAATAAAATTTCTGCCGCCTTCTTGATAGATTTGCCTCCGGTGACATTGTACACAATGTCGGATCCTACTTGGACAAGCATCTGTGATGGCATCACCGTCCAGTAGCCGAGGCGCGGCCCGAAAGCGTGCTCTCCCAGCTCCGGGTACCGATCAAACCGCTTCCCGGGGACCGCCTCGTGAAGATCCACAAGTTGCCACAATGAGTATAGTGTTACCACCCATGACAAGATAATGGTTAAGATTCCATAAGTCCTGTATGTGTGTAGGAACATATGTATAGTAGTTTAATACTTCGTATGTTATTGAGTACTATCGACTATAGTGGTAAAAAAACGTTTCAAACTTCTCAACTTTTTATCTCTAAATAAAGAACAAGCTAAGTTTATACGTAGTATGAAGTACACTAGTTAATGTGCTTACTAAAAATGTTTTTATTTGGATTGTTTTTAGTCCTAAACCAGATCAGATCAGACCAGCTCAGACCTGACTTAAACAGATCAGACCGAACTTCCATAGTTATAAATATACTAGTGTGATCACTCATTTACCTAAACATTAGTTATCACTAGGTAATCACTAGTGTGATCACTCATTTAGCTAAATGAGAAGGTAAAAAGTGTGATAACTATGTGATCACTAGTGTGATCACTTATTTACTCATTTACCTAAGTGATTACTGCACTCATTCTTTATTTACAGACCTACACTAGTGTGATCACTCATTTACCTAAACAAACCAAAGCAGACCATCAAATTACAGTCCAAGTAAAAGCATCCTAAGAAGCACATGTACCAGTGTGATAAATGGTCGAGATTTTCTGAATATTTTAGATGAGTGAATCTCGATCATTCATCACGTTAGCGTGCTCCATGCTAGCATGTTCCATATTTTGTTTCGTAAGATATATAATCAAGATTAGGTTAAGATCAATATAATTTATAAATATGTTAAAATAGATGGGGATCGAAGAGAAGAACGCACCAGCCAAGTTGTGACATGGCGAAGGGCAAACCAAGAACACCAGCTCCGACCATTGCAGTGACGTTGTGGAAGGTGGAGTACCACCATTTTGCCTCTCTCGAAGCAGTGATGGGTAACCAACTGTTTAGATCTTTTTCTGATTGGTTTCCCGCCGTCGATCTTTCATTGTTTTCGTTAACCTAATATATAACATTATAGACGTTATTAGTGTTTTCTCTTAAACATAAACGGAGTATATACGATAGTATTTAATTTCCTCTCTATATTCTAAAATATGATTCATTCATTTACCATCGTGAAAGTTTTCTATTTTTAATAGGAACAAGTAAGTTTTATGGTCGAAACAAAACATAAATACTCTTATTTGCAATTGATTTGTGATCACTGGCTTTATCTATCTTTAAATCCTATTAAAACAATCATTGTTTAATAATTCGGCCAGGCAAGAACATATCTTTCAAACTAAGACCGTCTTGTTATGACCTCAAATAAAAAGTTGTCTTCTAAAGTTTTAATTGATTGGTTCAAAGTTTTCTTTTACTCATTCGGACTACAAACTTTGGAGTCCAAATTTTAATGTTCTCGGAGTAGCTTATTCCAAAACGTTTTACTTTTGTTTTTTTTATTATTTCATAGAGAAAAGTCATTCCGAATGATAGTTTCCAAGCAGCGCGAAACACTGTCGGGGTCTAAGGATGTTTTTACTTGGATTGTAATTTGTTGGTCTGGTCTGGTCTGTTTAAGTCTGGTTTGGTTTGGTCTGATCTGATGAATGTCTAGTCTTTGTGTACTTTTATAAATGCGGAAATTCGATCTCGTCTGGTTTTGTCTGTTTAAGTCTGGTCTGATTTAACTGTGAAAACAGTTCAAGTAAAAACATCCTGATTTTTTTGGCATGCTGCCTTCCCATCCCCGTTTTTTGTACCCTAATCCAATTCCCATTGTCTTGCAACGCCTATCCAAAAGACCAAAACTCCTGTTGTTTGGGAATTTTTTCCTTTATGATCATCTAGTTAATTGAATGTCCTAAGGCCTGTTTGGTTCGTGGAATTGTTTATATTGCCGGAATGTTAAAGTGATGGATTTGTGCATGTACAACTTTGTTTTGGTTCAAACGGGAGATACATCATATCAATAACTAATTCCGGCCATTGGGTGTTATGCCATATACCACAAGTGGTATTTTCCTCTAGACTTTAGTGGCCTATCTATACAGCCATTTAATTTGTCTAATATAACAATATACTTGCAAGTTGCAATAATAGTTTTCGGTAATCGATCTGATCGATTATATATAGCAATTACGATACATGGATATTATAAATTAGAATTACAAGAGATTTAATTTGTGTTTTTAAGGACATGACTATACTTTAATTTATAGGGTATTTTTATTTGGACTAAGTTTTCTAGTATTATCTTTTATGGTCTATTTAAAAGTATATTCCGGCCTTAAGTTTATTCTGGTGTGTTAAACGTCAAGTGTATGTATATACGAAGTATAATTTTACTTTGTCTAAGTTTGGATTGTTTGTTCTAATAAATCTAGTCTAGACTGACTCACTGACACTAATTCCAGTTAAAAAAAATCATCGATGTCATTATCTTAACGTACATAATATAATCACTCCGTATATATGATAAGCCAATTTAACATTTTTTTAGTTACAATTCGATTGATCACATTTGTAAATGTGTAATTCTATATAGTCACATATCAACGTTATGTTACGTCAACTATTTTTGCTTTGGGGGCTAAAGAAAAAATAAACATTTTTTTTTTGTATATCCTTCTAAACATATTATAGTATCTGCTCTAAAAAAAAATAAGCATTTTAATATGTTAAAGCATATACTCCGCTTTCTAGTTCGGACTAATTTGGTTAAATAGTTGTATTTATGTGTAATTAGCTAATATGGAAATCTAATTTGACCTGGTCTAATTTTATCTTATTTAAAATTGAAATCAATCCAAAAAGCATCATTAAACCATAGTGAGAGTATATTTTATAGTTGCAGTCATGGATATTGCAAAATTAAGTCCTTGAACCGATGAAATCGTCTTGTTTTCATATATACTACTACGTATCTCATACGAAGTATTAAAATAATACGGAGTAATAATTGAACTAATAATAATCATAACAACTTTACGATTTTTTATATATTTAAATATCTAATAACTAAGTATTACTAAATTTGAATTTTAAAAAGGAATCTATATACTCCCTCTGTCCCATTTATATTGTCTCAGTTCCGATCCTATTTACTTGGTCAACACAAATCACTCTTAATTTCTTACTTTATATATCAAAAATTTATCAAATTTGACTCAGGTTTTTGTGACTTTGTAATGCTTTAAATGTAGTTTCTGAATATGTATTTTTTTCCTAAAAATAATTTGAGTGCGGACAGGGATCTGTTTGCTTTATCGTCAGTCAAACATCGTTAACCGTAAAGAGACAATATAAATGGGACGGAGGTAGTACTAATCATGTTTAAGATCGATTTGATCTTGGTTCTGCTACTATCCCTGAGATTAAATTAAAGTTACGTACAGTCTAAGCATACATCACGAAAAATACATTAATGGGATCGGGGGACGGTGTTTGGAAGCGATTCTACTTCTGCTTCTTTTTTAAAAGAGAAGCAAAATCAAAATCGTTTTCAGAAATTGGTCTCCTCAGCTTCTAAAAAACTGATTCTATCAGTAAATTAGGGGACCAGAAATACTTTTGCACTTCCGCTCAAACACTCCAACTTCTGCTTCTGCTCCTTCAGCAGATTTAAGAATCAGATCCAAACACTCCCATTTTACCCCACAATCAATGGAACAAAACCAAAAATCATTCATGCGGATTGGGTGATCGATGCAATATAGGATAGTATATATATAATACGAAGTACTATCGTATAATCTTACCTCTGAAGAAGCCGTTTGCTGCGTCATCCCGTATTTTACCCTAGAAGCCCCTTTCGATCAGATGCTATCCGACAAGTATGGATCGGATACGATCTACATAAATAAATAAAGTAAGAGTTAGGGTTTTACAATATTATACTTCGTATATATACTCTTCTCAAATACGATCTGTATATATTTTTGGGTACGACACCAAAAAAGACGATCATATACCGTACGTGAGAACAACCTAATTAATATCATATGGAGTAATTTTGTGCTTGTAACCAACAAGCTAATTAAGCTAAGCCTGTCACACTTCTTAGGACTCTCTCATAAGTCGTGCACGTATATATGTTTCATTATTCTAGTGAAAGGCTGAAAATCTCGGGAAGAGTACGTTTCAGAAACTCCCGCAAATATTCTTTAAAAAGTCTTCAAATAAATGTTTTTTGAATAAAAGTTTATGTTTCCCGTTTCTCTTTTACTCAAGATTTTCGAGTTTCCGTGCAATATAGGCTAAAATCCAAATTGCTTTTTTGATATAATATCCATGTATTGCCGAAATTGCCTTTCCCTATCGCCGATCTGATCAATGCATGGTTGCTATTTGGATACATAGATATAATTATATATATACCTGAGGGGGTATTTCTTTGAGAGAGCGAGATCGATGAAGAACGTCCAGCTATATATAGAAAAATTGTGATAAGCTAACCCAGCTATGGAGTACGGAGCATTAAATACAACGCCCCACCTTTAGGGTTTGGATTTGTGAGATAGGAGGTATTTATAGAAGTGATTTTTTCCTCTAGCTTATCCTTTTTAAGATTTTCTTTATGTCCCTCGGAGTCTTTCTCACCACCAAATTGAGATTGCTTTTATATTAGCCTATATTTAGGTTAATTATTAGGTCTTTCCAAACGCACGATTTATTAATGAAGAATGTCTGACATAAAATTAAGGGTTATAAGACAACAATATTACAAAAAAAAAATAACAATTGAACAAAAAATTGACTTTTTCTTGTAATTTCCAAAAAACAGACTAAAAATGGATACGCTTACTACTATATGTACCCTTATTAGGCCCAGCTAACCCATACAGTGATCAACACTACAATGATCAATTATCTAACCAGTTGCAGTTACCTGACTCGTCAGTTACAGTTACTCAGTTCAACAATTACATGTACCTAATTCGACCAGATATAGTTACCTGATTCGATCATTACAGTTATCTAGTTCAACCTGTTAAAATTACCCGGTCTAAAGTAACCACCACCGCCTGGCACCACCACCTGTCGTCAACGCCGGTGAGCTGCCACTACACTACGGTCACCAACTGTCACGTCAGTGACTATCCTGCCCTCTCTACTGGCCTGACCTCTCCAGCCTCCCACAGCCCCCAAGCTCCCTGCCAATGACTACTGCCTGCAACCCTTCACCATCAATCACCACCACCACCTGGCAACCGTCGTCGCTTGACCCGACCGCCACCACCTACACCAACTCCCTACCTTCCTCCCTACACCAACGCTCCAATTCTTCTTAGGGTCGACAAGAATCTATCGTTGCCACAAAGTTGATCTTGGCTTTCAAATCTGAAGATGCACTTTGCCGATTCGATAGATCTCACCGCTGGAGGAAACAACGGCACAGTGAACAACAGTTGTTTGCAGACAAGAAGGAGGAGGAGGAGGAGGAGGAGGAGGAGGAAGAGGAGGAGGAGGAGAAGAAGGAGGCATCCATTTTATACAAGACTACCCATGTGGTTCTAAAACTTCACCCACTTATTAATTTCTCGCTAATCGGCCTTAATCAAATTTTTCATCAAATGCGCACCTTTTGATGAGTCACTTTGAGTATGCTTAAAAAAACTTTATGAACTAACCACCACAATGGAAGACAGGTGAGGAATCACCATCTTTTGGAGCAGGGGCGGATTTGCCAGGGGGGGCAGGGGGGCCGGTGCCCCTGCTTCATCCGCGAGAGATAAGGTATAGGTAGTGCCGCCGTTGGGGTTGGGGGGCGCCGGACTGTAGTTTCCGGCAAGATTGGACTGTAGTTTTGCTTCTAGAGGACATCCGCTGGACAGGGACGATCGACGAAAGTGAGTTTTTTTTTTACACGGACGACGTCGTTGTGGATTAGGGGGGGGAAATAAGGGCCAGTCGGGCCTAGGAGGCCCAACACTTAACAGCCCAAACGAAGGACAGACCAAGCCCAAAAGAAACGGCAAAGGCAAATTATTTGCAAGTTGGACTAATTCCAACTTCAGATCGAGTTTTTAAATCTTTTAGTTGATTTAATTTTTTAGTTGACTTTCTAACTCTTTTTTACTTTATTTAGAACTTCTAGTTGTGTAGTTTTTAAATCTTTTAGTTGATTTAATTTTTTAATTGATTTCAATTTTTTAGTGCGAAGGTTATTATACTCCGTATATTATTATTGTATTAGAATAAATTAAATATTGAATTAATAACTACATATATGACTATATGAGTACAAATTGTTGATCGATAATTTGTTCATTTACTCAAATAACTCAATAACTCGTTTAGGCGTGTTAACAAAAATAAACTGATCATAACAATTACTTTTCTCAAAATTGAAGTTGATAAAATATTATATCCTATTTCAAAAAAAAAAAAAAATTATATCCGATCAACATTGTCTGAAGATAAATTATCTTATTTGACTATTTTTCTTGATTGAGAAATGTTAGCTACTCTTATAGTAGTGTTCTTAGGAATTTTCCTCTTCAAAAAGTTAGCAGAATAGCTATTAGAATATCTATATTTTTATATCAATTTTGGATCTTTAACTTTCAAAGAGACTCATTACGTTAATAATATACGTGATGTCATTTCATATGTAATTTACTTCTCTATAATTGATAGGCTGAATAAAATATATTTACATAAAATATTTATATGACCATCAATGGGATCACATAAAATATACTTCGTATATATAATCGTGCCCCTCCTTAAATACTTTTCTAGTTCCGCCACTGTTTTGGAGTAACATTTTACGTAACATGCGGCAAGTTGGATTCTACGTAGGATTTCCGTCTACGGTGCCTATGAAAATTCCCAATGTACCGGTGCCTTGATATTTTAACCAATCACAATACACTATGAAGCCACGTGAGCATCCTACTCGTTTTACTCAATTAAGTGTTATTATTTGCATTTTAACCCTAACAAAAAAGGGAAATAGCTAATGTTTGTTAACTACGGAGTACTAAATACTCTGTTACACCTCCGTTATTTTCTTAAGTTCCACAAAAAAGCCCACCATCTGTAAGGCTACATCAAACCCACCCACCGATGAAACCAACTAAAACATCAACTTGATGACGACGAAGAGAAAGGCTACATCGCTAATCTCTTTTTTAACAAGATGCCGACGAAAAGAAAGGGCGGAGAGCATCTTATCCCGTCTTCTAGACAAGTCAAGACAATTAGGATCAGAGGGCGATGAATCACTAACTGGATGCAAGAAATTAGCAAACTTGATCTTCTAACCGGATGCAAAAAATTAGCAGACTTGATCTGCTTGTAATATAAATGGTATGTAATCAACTCTCAGACTTGTTTGATTTTTATATTCTTTTTAGGATTGGAGGTTTTTTGACTGATTTGGGAAATTAATTGTCTGGAGAGGTGGATATATAGGACTACTAGTTGCTCGATCAGGACCCTAGCTTTATTGCGAGCCAAAAACCTTGATAGATTCCAACATACTCAATTTGAACCGTCTACACGTCTCGAAATGAATTCGGATTCGCTCAGTAAGCTGTGTCATACAGAGTCATTCTGTCACTCGAGAGTACATTCAATGCTACGACCCATTTATCAAGAGCAATTGAAAAATCCATAATTCCTTAGACATATAAAGAAAAAGATGGTCTTTTACATTCTAAATACAAGTGAAGATTCAAGTTCGTTCAATGAGGGACTATTTGGCTTGTTCTCGTTCTGCCTTATTTATTGATTTTTATCTTTTGCATTGGTTTTTTAACAACAGTGGCTTAGGGGGTAGGGATAGATGGTCTTCGCTTAGCTTTCGATTCCTTACAATCGTTGGACCAAATACTCCTTTGAAATAAACGTTCTCCTTGAATATTCGCTGTAGAAGGGCTTGCTGGCGGTGCGGATGAGGCAATCCCCTATGTTAGGAGCAATTCATGTGAGCTTTGTTTTATCTAGTTTCTTTGCTGGGGGTATGTGAAATATTTGGTACATGTCTTGGGCAAACTTTCTTATTCTATTTATTTCCTTTGGAGAAATGGGATTCTCTTTAGTCCCGGTTGGCTTAGAAATTAGTAGTCTTGATCTGTTCGTAATATAGATGGTATGATAAACGTTCAATAGTTTTATCCAAGAATTTTGCCTGACCAGGGAGATATATCTCCAAGTGATTGTACAATACTCACTACACTGTATACATATGTTTTTGTGTATTTTGGTCTTAAGTGGATCGATCTTTTTTTCAAAAACAAAGAAAGAGAAAAGAAATGTGGACCATTCTTATTTTAGGTAATTGCTCACTTCTGGTGCCTTTTACTTTTTGCATCAGTGTAATAGCAGGCAGTGTTTGTAAAGTCCAATTCATACATGGGTGCAAATGCCAACTTTCCCTAATCAATGAGACAATGAAAAACCTCCATTAAAAGCTAAAGAGCAACTCATGAGAATGTATTTTGTGTTTCATGTTCTCAATGAGTTGGAACACCTCATAAATAAAATCAAGTTATTTACTCCATATTTTTTTTATCCTTTGAACTCCTTAACTTCTACTTCACCTTATATGACTATATAAATTGATTAAGGAGATAAACTCTTACTCTGAGATGAATTCAGGAGATAAGCCCTTACGGTAGGATAAGTTGCTGCTATTCAGTCTTTTTCATTTTTTATCACCTTTTTATTCATGTTTTTTTTCATAGTTTCACCTGAATTGTTGAATCAGGGGTTTTAAAATCTATTCTTGTTACCCATCCATCTAATAAACCTCATTCTACTTTTTTTTTCTCAAAAAAAAAAAGTCTTTAAGTAAATAATTTGCTTACTGTGGTGATTGATAGACTGATGTTATAAGCAGTTTAAGCACGTTGATTTGAATCTCTCTGTAAACGTAAAATTTGTTGTCCTCTTATTTGAACTGCCTGATCAACATATGGAGAACTTGATCTACTTCCACATAACAGCTTTGAGGAGATAAGGCCTAGTTATGAAATGAACTAATGGGTGTTTGCAAATAGGTGTATGTGTGTGTGAATATGTATAAATACACTGGCAGAATCTAGCATTAAAAAGTGGTGTTAGAGAACTAAAGGGACTAACTAACCTCTTGTAAAAAATTAATGTAATAAATGAACATCACATATGATATACCGGTGTATCCTTGTAACAATTATTAGCAGCCTTTTCTGTCAACCAAACAATGGAAGCACAATTTTAACCAAACCGTGTAAATGAATTATCTTTTGGAAGTAACCTGCCAAAACCCTGATGGCTTCCCATTGCGAAGGCGTATTATATACTCTACATTTTTCGACTGTTATTCAAGTGGTCTTTTGAAGAACTGATATAGATGGGATCACTATTCCTCAGTTCTTGACTGGCAGATGCTCATGAAACTATGAAATGCTTTCA